CAATTAGCATAAAAAGTGCCCCCACAATTTCTTTTGAAAAAGGAGAAACTTTGGCTCAAAAAAGGGTTGTATTGTGTAAATATAGCCTAGGATCAACTCCCCAGTTTTTGGGCTTCCAAATGAGAGCAGATTTGATAAAATCACGGTTGAAAAATGGGTCCTATTTGCCCGAGAAAGTGGATGGACGCCATTTGTAAAATGGCTGCATGCACCCTTGGGAAGTATCACTTTTTGGGGGGTGAGTAAGTTTTGGTGTGAATATTAAAAAATGTAATTGGCTAACCCACCAAAAATTGAAAAGAAATAGGCAGATGAAGGACAAGAAAATAATTTAATTTTTGTTTGAGAAACCCCAGTGATGTCGGTGTGCGTGTTATTTGGCCCTGAACCTTGTTGATTTGACACTGTTTTCGATGGGGCTTGAATTGGTTCAGTGCACCCCTGTGGGCGCCCGCCATAATCGCTGCAATCATAGTTAATGATGCATGTCCGGAGAAAATATATTTCAGTGATATTTTGTGGTTCTGTTCCTTTTTGGTTACAGTTTTTGAAAGGACGACTGGCCTTGGTTTGCCAACCTCCATCTGGCATGAAAAAAAAAGGGCATGCAGGGCATTTTATCTTTCTGAACTTGCTTTGTTATATACACGTACACAGCGTTTCGCCCACAGCGCAAGCTTTAGTCATGCTGCTCCCACGCTTATCCAAATCCAACAGAACGAATAAAATGTGCATGCAAATGCGAAGAGAATATTATTATTAACTGTCTTTTTCTTTACTTTCAATCGGGGCCAAACCGTGTTTTATGGACAGGCAGCTGTATTTGCAATGAAATAATGATCAACTCGGCCACAAAAAACCCACTTGCATCTGTCGCCGTTCCATTCGAATTGCTGATGATGTATGAAGCCCGGGAAGGGACAGGGTGGATTTTTTTTTTGGAATTTCCTAATTCGTTCGCACGAATTACTAATTCGTTCGCACGAATTACTAATTCGTTCGCACGAAGTAGTAATTCGTTCGCACGAATTAGTAATTCGTGCGAACGAATTAGTAATTCGTGCGAACGAAATAGGAATTCGTGCGAACGAAATAGCAATTCGTGCGAACGAATTACTAATTCGTGCGAACGAATTAGGAATTCGTGCGAACGAATTAGGAAATTCCACAAAAAAAAATCCACCCTGTCCCTTCCCGGGCTTCATAATGATGCAACTTTGTCATCAGAGAAAGTGTGCCTTGCAAGTGTAGCCCGGAAAAGTGGCACACTAGACTAAATCAAGCTAAAACGATAAAAAGAGTTGGGGAACTCGCTTGCTAAAAAAAACTTGAATTGATCGAGTAGGGAAAAACGCAAGGAGAATAAATAAATAGAGACAAACAACTGATATTAAATTCTCAACAACAACAAAACAACCAAAAAATTTAATGACTCTGAAGGCAAAAGTACCAAAAAAAGAAATCCAAAGTGTGACAAAGTATCAGCCAAAAAGAAAGCCAAGTTGTCAAAAACCCAGATAAGCTAAAACTAGGAGGTTTTAAAATTAAAAAAAATGACTTGCGACTAGCAACTGAAGCGTGAACCTAGGAACAAACAAGACTGTTATTCTAAAATGTAATTATAAAAAAACTGTCGAATAGTACCCCAAAAAAAATTCAACCAAGGAACTTAACTAAAAAAAAACAAAGCTCCTAAAACAAACCAAAAAAAACAACAACCAAATTAATCCAAGCGTCAAAGAGGAAAATTGTTCCTAAATACAAGGTTCCAACAAAAAAGAAGAGTCCTTAAAAAGATGAAATTGCAAAAAAAATGTTCTTAACCAGAATAGTCCTAACAAACTTTCAAACCAATGGACTAAGGAAAAACAAAAAAACGAAAAAACTAAAAGACTAAAAGCCAACACGATATATAAGCGGGTTGCGAATCAAATACACAACTTCAACAACCTGTATAAATGAAAAACAAAAATAGAGCATACAAATAAGTAAATGACAAAAATGGTTATACAAGTGAAAATACAGAGTAAAACTTTTCAGTAAATGAACTAGGTCTACAAATAAACTGACTTGTTCACTCTGCACTGAAACAACCTGGTTCTTGTGTATAATCAACTCTAAAACTACTTAAAATAAACTCCCAACCAGGCTTCATAAGACAAGAACAGCCTTATTTCCTTGCGAATAGCTAATGAGCAGATAAGCCCTGGCCCAACACGTCTTCAAGGTCACTGAATAAGAACTGCTAGCTACTCTGACCAGAGTAAATAGAGTTGTCACAAGTCTCTACCATGAAATAAACTGTGAGCATAATCAGTACACTAAACAAAGTAAAGTAAGTCAGGTAATGAATACAGAAACTAGGGAACAAGTCTAGGCCTCTAGAACACACAATCCATTGTCAATCAGCTCCCTGTGTTCAGGACCAACCATGCCAGGGGCAAATTTAGGAAATAACACCCATTCTTCTACTGGAACATGTGACACATGTACCCTCAAGAAAGTAAAGGCAAGGAGAATTTGCGAATGTACGAATTATTTCAAACAACAAAATTACAAATCTAAAATCCTAATTATCTTCTAAGTCTTCTCAAAAGCTAATAAGTATCTTAAAAACTGTAAACGAAAGGAACAGTTTGTCTAAACTGTGCCAAACAAATTACACACTTCTTTGTTAGTAAACCTGCCATCCAACCAACGTAATGAATCTGATTTAAAACTGTGCAAAGGCAACCAAAATCTGCACAAATACAATGTACTTGTAGTTTTGAACAACAATCCAAAATGAAAACATTCTTCAACTCGTCATCAAATCAAACTTTCAAAGGCATGTCGTAAAAACAAGAGAAAATACAAGCGACTGGCTATAATCATTTTACTTGGAGGAAAACTTTAACACCAAAATTAGTCATAAAAAATAGGAAAAATCATTAACCATTATACAATATAATGTCTGTGAAGCTATAAAATGAGTTTGAACTTACCAAAGAATGAACAGACCAAGTTGGAAAGGCAGGAATAAAAGACTTGGAAAAATGAGTTGTGTGCACTCCACTGCCGGTCTGCAAAGTGAGTAGGGTGTCGCAAAGGATTGCAGAGCACATGGCCTGTTATCAGTAGGCTCATTGTTCTAAGGGTCTAATTACAGTGCTGTTTTACCAGGGGGAAAATCTACTAAGAAAATCATTTTCCAGGGGGAAGGAAGTTAACTTAATATATGAAACAGAGAACAATCTAAAATGAGTGTCCCCTCTACACAAGCAAAGCACTAGTAGTTCACAAAAGTTGAAATGTAACTTCGTATCTTAACTTTCTAAAGGCATAATATTAATCATACATCAATGGTTGGTTCAATTTACTTGGCTAAATCGTCCATGAAGGCATATTTTACTTTTAGATATTTTTTTATAATTTGTCATGTAGGCCTAAATATTTATTTAAGCACTCCATCTTCTGTATTTGAGGAGACAACATTTGATTTACTCTTCTCTTCATTTTACAGAAATTAAACAACAGAGATAACATCAGAAAATTTGCTTCAGCCGTCCCTCGTTCCCATTTCGACACCGATTCCCCGGTGTCACATATGGACAGAAATATGGCAGTTGTATTTGCAATGAAAATCAATTCGGCCAAAAAAAAAAACACTTGCAGCTGCAGAGAAAGTGTACAATTCAAACAAAGTAGTTCACCAATGGTGAAATTTAACTTGGTTTCGGAACTTGCTAATGGCATAATATTAAGAATACAGCAAGCGGTTTGTTCAAGTTACACTGTAAATCCAGGTGTTTAGTTTCTAAACACATTATAAATGCTTATTTGCAACACTTTTTAAACATTTTAACACGTTTACGAATAGAGTATTTATCCACATAAACATACGTGTTTAACACTCTGAAGAAATGGTCTGATAAACACACTGTTTAACAGTTAAACGCATGGTTTATTCAAATAAACACTGTGACGTGTATAAGAAAGTGTTCAAATATAAACACTTTGACATGTTTACATGTTGCAACGGTTTATAAACATTTTAACACGTTTATAAGTGCTTAAGTGTTTAATAAGACGAAACATGTTTAACAATACATGTATATGCATTGGGCTTCACTACTACTATTCATGTGTTGAATTTCAAAGGTTTTTTCGTGCTTCTTTGGCACTGAAAAGGCAGTGCCGTAACAAAATAGCCCAGCACTCAGAGCCTCTATTGGCCTAACCACCTGGAAGGCACTTTGAAATTCGTCTTCAGAAAATAAAAAAACATCCTTAATTTTTCAAATCTGTATATTTTTATATACTAGTAATCCAAAAGCTGGTTTGCAGCTGCAGTTAAGTGTATAACACGCATCATATCTTTATTTGCACATTTTGTTTTCTTGTACTTGTTAAGACTGTGGTTATGAAAGTTCTGTTTTCTTGGTGTTTTCTTTACCATACATAATATTGTAATTTCTTTAAAAGTACCAAAACTTGTACATGTACTAAAAAATTTTATTTCCAAACTTTTGACTGGGCCAAAGTATGTGCAAATTCATGGCCTTTTATGCCATAAAAACTTGCTGAAACAAGTAACAAACTAAATGTATCAATGCTATACAAAAATTAAGCTAAATAACACATTTGACTTTTTTAGCTGACGCAGTTTGCTCAATCTAGCTTGCCCATCCAAGCAATAGTTGGAGAAATGTAAACTGCAGTAGGGCCAAGTAAGAAAATACTTGTGTTTCCTATTATCTAATGACCTGGAAGACCATGCTGATATCGATAAAACTGTGATTTAAAAAAGAAATTTGGAGGCATCACAGTAATTTGTTCCACCCCAAAGCCTGAAAAAAGTGGCTTACTCAGTAATTTTGTTTGTTTGTATCCACAATCACGACATTCTTTAAACACTTAATTCACATGTTAAATGTTACAAAATGTTAACTGTTACAAAGTGCAAGGGTTCAAAATATAACTGATTATCATCCTACTCTAATATTTTGGCAGTACAACAGTTAGGGGAAAAGAGATATAGTACCCTAAATATTTGTGTTGTAACAGAAAACATGTTTTTTTCTTCTTGGCCTAATGAGTTTAAGCAGCATGTTGTGTAATGGACAAAATAAGGTGAGAAGGGTTCTACTGCAACTGCTTTTAATTTTCAGCAACAGCTTTTAATTTTCTTTGCAAAGCCGTTTGGAACATTCTGAATTTGGCACTCTTTTGGCCATCATAGGGCACACCCTTAACAACATGGTTCTGGAGTGTTCCAAGGAGCTGAGAATAAGTCTTTGGGTACTCCAGGTCGAATAGGTAGTACACTCCAATGAGTAAGAGGATTGCAGCAGTGGCAGTAGAACCCTTCTCACTCATAATACTGACTCCATCAGCTACAACAAAAGATGCTTGCAGCTTGTTGTTTGATGTGAAGATTACCAGCTTCGGTGGCTCATTTCTTGGGGTGTGGAGTTCCTTTTTGATGTCACCATCTGGTATGTCCTGCAGGAAGAAGCATCAAATATTTTTTTTTCACTTTCAAAAGATATGCTCTGGTTCTCACCAACGTAAAGCATGCAGGAAACAGCAATGTATATAAAACAATAACTGTGCTGTATTTGTAATTTAATGTTTGCAAAAATGTTTTGGGCCAGCTTGCCTATTAGCAATCTGCAATCTCGTACTTTTGGGTCAACATCCAATCCCTTTCCCCCAAAAAAGGGTTGGGGCGATTTCAAACTTCAGCCATATGCCCTTTATGGAGAAATGTTACTGTTTCAAGATATCCTGATAAATGCATGCATGCTATTTCAATTTCAACCCCCCCCCCCAAAAAAAAACCATGAGGAAAGATCATCATGTTTGCCAATGTGAGAAAATATTTATAATGGTGGATTCTGCAAAGTGCTCATCTAACCGTGGGTAAACCCCTAATGCTGCTAGCATTATAACAAATCATCAGCATCTAACTAAGCGGCTGCCTGCCAAGGTGCACAACCCTACCATGTTTGACACTCCCTTTGATAGATCAAACCCACAATTTCTCAATTATGATCCCAGCTGTGTACCCACTTTACCATGATGCAATAAGTGAAAAGTAAAAGTTGTTGTAATCAGGTTTCTCAGGTGTCTATTCATAATATGGCAGTAATACAGCATTCAACATGAAAGTCTGTATAGCCACAGGCTTGTGCCTTAAGTCCGAATTATACTCAACTTTTAGCGGCATTTTTAATGCAACATCATTTCCTAAGTTAATTAAGTGAATAACTTTGCTGTTTTCGCCAAACATAGAGATGCTGTAAATCCAGGTCAAATGGCACACAGTCTCAATCTGTGTTTGAAATAGGCTGTGGACACGAAAAGTGATGTTTCAGTAACATTCAATAATTACAAACCTCTTTCATGGTGATGATCGACCTAGTCTTTCTTCCCTTCCCCTTCTCAAAGGCTGTTGCCTTTTCCACGTAAGAAATTATAGGGATCATCCTCTCTGGCTCGGCCTCCTGTTACAAAAATTTTTAAAATAAGAAATGAATACATACATGTCCTGAAGTAAATGTTGCTACAAAATATGACATGTTTCCAGAATGATATTAGAAAAATATAAAAGTTGTATTAAAGTGTATGGCAGAGTAGTTTTGCGTTACAACCCCAGAGGAGTGACACCTAATCTTTGGCCCACAGGGACCACTTTTGCACTTGCATTTAGTCCCAAGAGCATGAATACACACAGCAAACTCTTATCATAACACCAGCTATTATAAAGTTCTCTGTGATATAAAAATCCTTATAAATTCTATAATTCCCTATCACTTTATTCATTGTATAGGCATTGAATATGCAGTCTCTGGACATAAGGCTTGCACCACTTCAGGTCCATGAATAGTGCTTATATGGAAGTTTAGTAAGTTGATTTTTTGACCAAACACAGGATGAGAGAAAAAAAATCACACCGGCCGCATTGGGATTCGACCCTGAGACCTCTGATGCTAAGCTACACGCATGGGCACAATTTTTTTTTGGGGGGGGGGGGGGGGTTGCTGTATCATTCCGTGTAACGGTGTATTTGTGGAACGCTCCATGCAGCGTTGTCCACAATACTGTACCTGAGTGTCATTGTATGTTTTTTGTACATACCTCTGTTTTCGATTCCATAATTTTCTCTACTGCATCCATGAAGACGATGATGTTGTCTTGGATGGCCTGAAACTTTGTCTCACCAAGGAGGAGTTGAAAATCATGCATCACCTGCATGGAAATGTAAGTCATTATAAATTAAAATACGGTGCAGATAACCCTTGCCCCACTAGTTCAGCAATCCAACATGCTGCAAAATTCAAAATCCCAAACTTGTAATAAAATTGTAGTCAAAATAGACTTGATGGGTTCATAGTACATGCACACGCTTTGCCATAAATTTGTAAAAGCTTTTAATTTTTTTTTGGGGGGGGGGGAGCAAAACCATTTTGGTCACCCAAAAGTGGGTCCAAAAAAATTGCATTCCAGATGCTCTAGTGGTGCAATCTGAGGCAATTGACCACTGTAACAATTTTTAAGGCAAAAATTGTGGTGATACGCAGTGCTTGCCTTCACTGTGATGACAATTAAACAAACATTTAGTTTGTTTTGGGGGAGGGGGCCATGGCTCTTCCCATGGATCTCCCTTGTTTAACACTTCGTTTTACACTATACCATTTCTCAAAATCAAAGAACACATACATACATATATAGCACATTGGCCCAATTACCGTGGAAATGAAAAAGCCAAAAATAAGATGACAGGAAAATTGTCATCGAGATTCTGACAAAGATGCTCTACAATTTTTTTTTTACTGCATTACACAAATATTTGTAAATATATTACTATATGAGGCCAAAAAAGAAAATACTTCTGCTTCAGGTTACCCTACCTACCAAATTTTGACAGCCCCTACCCTGGGGGATGGGGAGGTTTAGGGAAAAAAACCCAGCTTACCCTTGACTACAAGAAGACACGTGCGATCAACACAGAAAAATATTACCCCAAAATACCTTACCTACATACCCTCTTTTTCCAAATGCCATGTAACCGGAAGCAGAATTGTTTTTTTTTTGGGCCTAAGCAATTAGTGCACCTACCATTGCACCATCTTCATAGCAAGGTATTTTCTCAAGGATTGGATGAACCTGAGAATCCGGTAGAGTACGAATCCACTGCTCGTTCCTTCGAAAGGTTTCGCTGAGCAGCAGCTTGATGTGCTTCACATTTCGTGTCTCACCCTTGTCCCATTGACTCGCTAGCTCCTTAAGATGTTCCTCATACTCTGCATCAGTACAGCTCTTGTGACCAGAAATGTGCAGCTGTGCTCCTCTGACAGATTTCCTGGGCTGGTCATTGGTGTCCTCCCGTCCCCTCTTCTCTCCTTGTACCTCTGCTGGTTTTGGTGGCACTGTCTTCTTTTTTGATGCCCATCGCATGTGTCGAATCCTCTGGCTTAAGCATTTCGTGAAAAAGGACTGAGAAAAAAATCAAGGGAAATCAGTACCATTAAGTGAGCATGCTGCTTCCACACTGGCAGATCTATAATCCCGGCCAACTTGAAAATGGTTAGGACACCCACTCCCGCTCAATGTTGTTCTCTCCAGCTGATGGAGCACACACCACGCAATGAGAAACAACTTTGACCAGATGCTTGGGTGGGGGAAGGGGGGAGGGCCATGCAGCAAGTTTTGGCAGGGATTGCAGAGGGTGGGGGCAGAGGGCCAAAACTTCTCACGATGCTCCTTGAACAGCACTTTATACCTCAGGAATAATTTTAGCAAGAAAAGAATACATTTTCATGTAGGGGTGTGAGTGTTACTCACTGACCAGGTTATGAATTTGCAACTGAAGTGAAAAGGAACATTTTGGGTACAGCTCCTTTATTTCCTTCTGAACCGTTTAAAATACTTTGAATTGTTCTCAGAAAGAAAATCTCATTGGAACGCTTGTGCTTGTCAGCTGGAGCTCGAACAGGGCTGTGCAAACTATCTTATGAATTTATCTTATGTGTACAAAATGTAGGGTAATCGCGTGTGACAAAAAATTCACAAAAGTTAATAAACATAACACACGCAATTGTCTAGCCTACAATGAGCACAACCAATAAAGGACCAATGAGGTAAAACTGAGCAGAAACAAATTTACCCATGCATGTTCTCCTTCTCGGGCAATTGCAGGAAATTCTTGGTGCATCTTCTTGCCAATGTCATGATATTCAGATGAGCTGCTGATGTTGGGGAAGTTGGCAGTGTAGTAATGTGCAGCCTCTGCAATCATTTCTTTCCAAATCTGAAATTCTGTCCCAGCCTTTAGATGTTGCTGAATGGTTGTGCTGAATGATGGCAATGAAGTTGCTGATGTCACCCGGGATGAAATCCCACAAGCAGTAGTGGGTGCAGGGAAGGTCTTTGTACTGGTAGATGGACCAACATCCACATCTATTAGTTTGATTTCTGAGTACTCATCCGGAGCATGACTTTTCCCCTCTTCAGAAGGCAATTCTGCTGGAGGAGTGGATGTTTTTCGATGCCACGTCTGTCCTGGTTGTAGAATCATCAGAATGGACTTGGAAAATTCCATGAGGGATTCAGTGTCGTCTATTTCAGTCCCATCTTCCTCCAGAACTACTGCCAACAAGTCACTTGATGCAAATGCAAACTTTTGCTGTGCTGAAATGACAGAAATGGTGGTACATGTGAAAGGAAAATGTTGCCATCTATCAGTATTATCCCCTGTTACCCTTTTACCCTAAACCTAGCACGTATTCCCTCCCTGCCACTAGTCCCCCCCCCCAAAAAAAAATACAAACAAACAAACCAACAACCACCCAAGGTTACAACTTTCAGTTGTATGTGGCAGTTTTGTGTTATTTTTCTCATTTTTAATTTTTCATGACCCCAGGGGCAGATCCAGGAATTTTTGCAGGTTTTGTTTTTCATCAGCAAAAAACAAGTGTGAAATGTTGGCACCTTTTTCTTTCTCAAAACACTTGACCACCGTAAAATCAGGGGGAGGGGAGTGTGGGGAGGGGGGGGGGCAGGGCTCATACCATAATTTCAATGGGGGCGCTGTTAAAATGTGACGATTATTAACACTTTATCAAAGAATAATGTACACATACCCCCTAACAAAGCTGGCTCTGTACGTATTTTTGGCAAGGCAGACATTATTACTAGCAAAAACAATCTGGGTGTCGGAGCAGGGGGGGGGGGTTCCTAATTTTTTTTTCTCAGGAATTTCTATGGAAAAATATTTGATGGACAGAGCTGGGGGGGGGGGGCTGAATATTGGCCCCAAATCTCCCCACCCCCCTCTGGATCCGCGTCTGGAACCCCCCCCCCCCCCCCCCCCCATGTTCAGAAAGGGAATATTGACTAGCCACCATTAAACCATCCAAAATTAATTTACACTTCATACATATTCAGTTGCCAATTTAGTTTTTGTCGTAAATCAAACTACCTTCCTATGATACTGTGCATGTGCAACTTTCCAAAAACTTCTGCTAAGGGTTTATGATAGTCCATAACTGTTGGTTTTTTTTTCAATATTAAATTTGGACAAATAATTTGTTACTTAAGTTTATGAAGAAGTGAGTGTAACATACCTTTGTTAAGAAGTTCCTCATAGCAAGTAGCTGGAATGCATTTTCTGGAAAGTCTGTCACTGCTCCAGACTTTGAAAACAGGCATCTTGTCAACCTTATACTGGTAACCAGACCAACAACTTTAAGCAGAAAAATAGGGGATGTGTGCATTTAGAGGAAAATGCATTGTAAAATCAGACAGAGTGTTTTTTTTATGCAAGTGGCTCATTACAGCTTTTCTACAGTACACTGCAAACAACTTTGACAAAAGTCATGACCCCAACATAATCAGGGACAGGGGAATTTTTCATCTCGAAAATGACAATCCCACATCTTGGTTAGGCAGTCTAGGGAAGATTTGGGGATACAGTAGGTGCATTGGTTATTTGAAACATTCACATTTTCTGTTTTTCTGTTATTAGAAAGAACAATTAGTCGGGGTTCAGAAAGGCGAGTGTGTGAGGACTTAATTGGCAGTTTAGATGTAATTATGCCTAGCATAATGGAAGCTGGGCCTATTGTAAAACTTTATGTTGTACAACAGATTCAGAGAGGCTCGCATGTATGAGAATATTTGTTAATCACACCTGTCTGTCCAGAGTATGAGTGCACACTTAACGGCCACCTTGAAAAGAGCTGGGAATACTCAACTATGGTTTGTTCTCCAGTAGGATCAAGAACATATGAAATTATGTGGTTGTCAAAATGCTTGACAGTCTGGCGGGAAACAACAAATAATTTCTTTCCATCGTGGATCAAAATATCATGAAGAATTCCAAAGACGGGTAAATCATCACCTCTGTTAGAAAGAACAAGGCAGCATCCTACTTTGTATGTGTGCCCAAGTATGGTAGCACAGTTAGTTGCGTACACTTGCAAGCCTTGCCCAGCATCAACTCCACAGATGCCCGACATGTTGTCAACAAGCTCAGGGTACTTATCATTGAACAGCACAGAACTTCCTTCTTTTATGATGTCTCCTGGATACAAAAATGACTCTCTCTGTGTGAGTGACCCAAACTGTTTGTATGACATATATTTCTGGTGCTTTGTGCTAATGCTCAAGGGAAGATTCTTGAAACACTTCCACTTCTTATTTTTGAAGAATCCATGCTTTGCTTCAAATCTCATGCACCAATGGTGTCTCAAGGGTCCATACAAAAGGAGTTGACGTGGAAGATGCACACAATAATGCATTTTGGGTATAACACGGCCCATGGGGTAAAGTGTCACAAAATGACTGTGGTGTTCATATATTAACTGAGACATAAGTGCAGCTGTAATTGCATTACAGTAAGGGCTTGTTGCAAGTAGGGTGAGCTGAACCAGCCTGAGAAAATTGACCCACTTTGGCTCATCTCTTGGCACTTTGCTCCCGATCATGTAAGGCAATGTAACAATTAAGGTCAAGATGGAAGCTGATGTTTGTTTGAATTTTCCATCACCTTTCAAACAGCTCTCATAAACTTGTTCAGGTTTGGATCCTGCCTCAAGATATGTGTATGAAAATGAAACTATCATTGAATTCAGCCACTTCAGAGTGAAGTATTTTGAATTGTATATGAATTCATTCAGCATATATTTCAACTCATGAGGAACAATTCCTTCCAGAAAAAGGTGCATAGGGTCCTGAACAAATCCAGAACAAAGCTTGTAGTCTGGAATTTCCTGGAGACAACTACGGTTGTTTATGCCCCACTGCCTGCTCCAGTAATTGCGTGCAGGTTTTGACAAGTTGTCATCCAGCATGATACATCGTCTCCGGTGCTCTTCCTCATTCCTCAAGACAAAATCCCTTTCAACAAATGTTCTCTTCATTTCATGTCCTGTTGCTTTACAATTTCTACATCCCCTATGTGCAAATGAGACACCCTCCTTGAATCCTCCAAACCACTGAGCTGCTGGTGTGTCACATGCTACTACAACAATCTGTCCTTCTAGATGTACATTGTTTCCATTAACCTGCATGTCAAGACCTCCAGTGGACAGTGTTCTCATATGTGAAATGAAGTCCTTCAACAATACCCCTGGTCCACTTTCACGAAGATCTTTTGTTTTAGCCACTGCAAGAAGTTGGATTGTTTGTAGACGTGATCGACATTCAGGTGGAATGTTGCCCAGTGTATAATAGAACATGCTCAACTTGTGCTTTTTTGTATGTGATCCGATAGGGTTGACAATTTCAATGTCATCAGTGTTTAAGATGACTTGCAAAGCCCTGGGGTTTCTTTCAAATACTGGATCCATCTTAAAGAAAGCCCCATCGCAAATGTCAAACATGTACTCAGACTGACTAGTGTGAGGATGATTCACAAACTTCCACACTTCTGGCATATGCAGCAGGTTTTTTAGACTATCAATAAAGGGAACAGCATAGCCAACAACATCTCTCTTGACTAGTTCTCCCTTAACTGAAACATACTTATCTCCAAGTATTACACGCTGTGGGGCAACGTAGCACAGTTCTTTACTGTAGTATGAATTCCTATTTTTCTGTGTACTGAAATCACCCAGAGAATTGCTAATTGGAATGCTGTTGACTGTGTTAATTATGTTTTCAGGGATTCCATTTTGCCTGAACTCACTACATATCTGTGTTTTGAAATGTGCCAAGTGATCGTCAATTAGTGATGACACCATCTGGACTACTTCATTAACGGATGACGATGGCATATTGCAACCACACTCTAAACCTAATGCAAATGCAGCATTACGATGCCTAACATCAACTGCTACACCTCCGGCATGGTCTAACTCATTGTCACTGTCCATTCCAGTGTCACTTTCATCATCGCTGACCTGTAAATTCTGATTATGCGGATCTCTGTGCTTTCTAGACATATGACATTTAAAAGCACCCCAGCTCTTTGTTGAATATGAGCAGTTGTCAACTGAACAAAACACAATGAAATTGGGGTCACTTTTATGAAAACGCACAACGTGACAGACATATCTTTCATAGGATTTGCTACTAAAAACACACAGAGAACACTTGAATTCTGTCATTTTGAATAGGCCCTACTGATGAGGTGTATATAATTTAGCAAGGTAATTACAGAGGTAGGCTAGGCCTATTATTAATAATGTCATGAGTTTGATGAATGTATGAGCCTATGAGGTGTTCAGATTTTATGCAATTTTGAAACGTGAAAATGTATGCAAATATAGTAAGACTATAGTAAGACTCAGAGTAGGCCTATGCCAAGGTAAATTCTAAGGCCGTGTGACTTTATTACTGTCATTACTGTTCCAGGTCTATATTCATAGCAATGTGACCCTCCACCACACTCCAGCAAGATAAATAAAACCCCAACCTCAGACTCTGTCAGAGAGAAGTACAAATCGAAAAGACATAGGCCTTAACCAATGAAATTTAGCCTGGGCTTGGATGCCTTGGTTTATGCCAAGTATGCCAATCTGAACATCAATCCTGACCATACAACAACCAGACAACGACCTGACGATTAAACTTTGGAACAACCGGCCGGATGCCCAAGTACACGCAAGACATGTAGGGCCTACCACTGGCCACGGAGAAAAAAGGCCCTAGGCTAGGATAGGACAATGTAGGATAGCCTAGGCCTAGGCCAAACCGCTGAACCAAACAGCATCCATTGGTGAGGCTAGGCTCAAACTAAACTGCCAATATTAAACGTATGTCTGGTCCTGATGTTGATAATATTCACATTAATTGCACTGTGACTAACCTGTCAAAATGTTCTCCACATTCACCCTTCTTTTTCTGCAAGTTAAGTTGTTGGCTAGCTAGAAAGTAGAAGTGAGTTGGCAATCGATCGTACCCCGTACGGTGCCTTCACATTTAGTATATGCAGCACTAGTTTGCTGGTACCCGGCCCATACAACGCCCTCAATATGCATAGTGCGCCAGTACAGGCTAATTACCGCTTCGCAAAATGTTTGCGGAGGAAACCGTCGGCATTCTGGACAGCTTACGGTGATCTCCTATTGCATTGCTTTCAGCAGCTAGTGCGCAGTGATAAATGATTATCCAACGAGAGCGCGGAACGGATAGCCTTTGCCGACGGTCCGTTTGACACGGTGTAAAACGTTGGGTACGAGCGAACTGCAGCATTAGCGATTCCAGGGCTGTTCCTTTTGGCAGGACCCTTCCCTCTTCCCGTCTCTTTATTTTCCAAACTTTATCTGCATGAAAGCGTAGGTTTGGTGATGAAAAGTGTACCAGTATTGAGTGTAAAAGTATTTAAGATTACAGGAACTTAACATTCAATTCGGTTAACTACCGTTATTACTCTGATGGAAACTCGGCATGTGTATTTTCAGAATTCCGGCGGGCGCGCAGACAATGAAACGACACGGATTTGTTCGAGCGTTCCCGCGTATTTTGTTCGCGCGTAGTGCGTGATCTAATTTTAGAACATGTATCCATGGGCCTGAGAAATGGTTTGCGCATGGTCAGTCGTGCAATCTAAACACTGTGTTAAGATTGGCAGTGAATACAGTGTTTACTGCAGTGTTTACTGCGCACTGGCATATAGGCCTTGACTATAACTTAACACACTGTTCTTCCGGGTAACTTCAGTTTTAGTAGCAAATGTGATGCAATTCGTTATTGACTACACTTTCTTTACTTAAATAAATAAATTTAGGTTTTTCCATCTTATAATTCAATACATTTGATTTGTTATTGTTTAAATAATTATTTCCGGTATTTGAATTTGTTGTCTATTCATCGCAACATCACGTATGCGTCTGTTCTTTCCATCATTGTCATTTGTTCTTGTTTTGAAGTTGGTTTTGATCTCGCAGTTTGATTTTAATAAGGCCACTGCAGAAAATGCTTTTTTTTAAACGCAGTGCTTAGGTAATATAAACATGTTCCAAGCACCACTGTTTAGAAAATACATATTATGTTTAACTTTTTAAACATGTGCATTCATTTCATAAACGCGTTACGCAATTTATAAACACGTCATGTGTTCTCTGGTTTTACAGTGTATTAGGGGTCAAGTTGGTCTTTCGGTGGGGGTGGCAACTTGAGAAATTCGATAAGCCTTCGATGGACGCCATCTGACTGAAGGAGGTGGTACATCTATGACTAAGATGTACGTGAAGGCATGTAACTTTTATGGTAGTAAATGTAATGTAGTGGTGAATGATCAGTGGCAAACACACCCCTGTAAAGAACGAGTAATGCGATATATTAGGGGACATTATCAATAAAGACCTACCCCTGGCACTTCTGGCCTTCCCCATGCCACCATCCCCCACAAAATGCACAGCCCTCCACACTGGAGAGGTGACGCGGAGTGTCGTCTATAGTAAACCATAGAAAGGCTGGCTTTACGACCTGCAAAGCGACCACCATCGTCAACTGCATGTAGTATATGTTCGATGAAGGTAAATGGTTAACCACACTCATTGACCACGCTCACCTTGCTATATTGACTAAAATAATAGTCACATCATTAATTTTAGTGCCCAAACAAAAAAACGTGTACAAATGATATGGGCAAAATGACTAAAAAAAAAACTAGAGCTGTATGTCTGTTTGAAAACAGAACACAGGGCTTTTTCGCAGTTAACAAATGTTTATTTTTTGTTGGTCATTTTGCATTTACTTTTTAGAGTGCTTAATGCTTAGAATAATTCCTAAAATATAAATTCATCACATGACGCCAAATGCCCTGCAATGACGTCATCTTGACAACACCTTTCAATGTACATTTTGTCATTGTGGTCTTAGTTCGAACCAAGTTTAAGGTCAATTCGATAGTAGGGAAGTGTGCGCTTTTGGAAGCAGAATAAAAATTTTAATGTTAAAAGAAATCATAAAAAAATCAAACGATGACGTCATCGTGACGTTACCTCGGCTGGTTGCCGAAACAGCCAATGAACATGTTAGGGGTTTAAGTCCCTCCAACAAAAGGCATGTCCACTTTGCCAAAATCGTCTGAATAGATTCTGGAGACCAGGCGCGTAGATGTTTCTGAAACGGCTACGACTGTCGACGTTAGCGCGTCAGTGGCAAAGGCCGAATTATAGCCATTATATCTGATCTGGACACGTCATAAGTTGCATAATATAATTTAGTTTCTTGCCTTGCCTAACATTATTTTGGCTCCATAGGCGGCGGAACGCTTTTTTAAACTGGGGGGGGGGGGGCTCAACACCAAAAAGGGGCACTTGCTCAGAAAAAAAGGGCACCTTCCGTCGGTGTGAAAGTGCACAGAGTAAAAGAATATAAGGTTAAGGTTAAGGGGACGAACAGGAGCGGAGTGCCCATCTCTCTTTCGAAGCGATTGGGCCAGAAGAAAATTGAGTTTCAAAGTTACACAAATGTATTATTATCAGTGTGCCACGAATCGAATGTACATGGCATTTGATGTACATGTACAGGGTGAGTCGAAAAGAAAATTGCCCAAAATAATGATTTTTTTTCCTTTAAAAGCCATCAAATTTGAAACACCAATAAAGTTTGAAAAGAGCATCTTATTCCACTAATCTAAGACATTATTGCTGAAATTGATCCATGCTATCATGAGTTATGAACGTTTTACTTAAAGAACCATTTTTTTTTATAGCTGTCCATGGAATGGCATTAGAAGTTATTAAGCTGGGTGAGTATTACATATTACGCGTCCGCGTCTCATTATACTCAATTGACATTCATCGCCAAATAGTCAGTGGACAGCCGAGTTTTGTGATATCTTTATTGAAATATACATAACTTGGGAATAGAGTATGCAAAATACGTGAAATTTTCACAGTTAAAAGTCAATACGTCAATAAGATGTACTTTATTCTTATGTTTTGTGTGTGGGGGGGTGTGTGTGTGTGTGTGAATGGTGCAAACCAAATATTTGTAAAATATATTTCAAATTGGGTATTTTTCTTTTTGACTTACCCTGTACATGTTGTGAAATTTTACCAAATTTGGCTAACGAACGATGACCAGTGGTTATGCCTTTTGGGGTGTTAACAGCGCGAAATAACTGTCAGGGTTTTCAAGATCCAAGTGTTTTATTAAAGGCAAGGATGTCTTGAAGTGCTTCGGGAAGAGCTTCTACGAGATCACGTGCAATCATCTCAAACCTTGGCAGAAAGCCTTGTTTAGTAATCTCCCGCACGGTAGTGTAGTACGAAAAATGTACGACAAAGGCCCTTCCTACAACGCAGTTGGGATTCTTGACTTTGCCGGAGTAGATGACTGTTAACCATAGTTCCTCGCTTCCACGAATTGGTCCACTTTTCAACATGGCTTTCATGTCAATGAGGTTTGAATCCATTAAGAGGAAGTTGATGCTGAAGCGAGCTCTTTCAGGGGTCAGGTACCGTCCGTCATATAGTAATTTCTCCAGTGATTTGTTCTCGTAGTGATAGAAGAATGCCTCCAGTGCCACCACAGCACAATCCGCTGATTTCCAGCCGCACTTTGGGAGACCTTCACGGCTGAACTCAAATTTCAGCTTCTTTGGGTTGATAGTCTCGTTGTCAAAGATACCCATCTCTTGGTGGATATAGCTACTGCGCCAGTTAGCACCTCCTGTGTTGGCGAAATGAATGAAGCACTCGGAGGTGTTCTGTTGCTCAATCAGCTGCCTGAAGGCGCCGGGGTGGATGTACACGATGTCGTCGTCCATCTTGAAGTACTTTCTCTCTGAGTGCCTCGCCATCTCATCGAAAATCTCGTACACAAATCTGCCAAATATAGCAACAGTCACCTTTTTGTTTATGCGATTGCGAAATCGGAGCTCAAAAACCTCCTCCTGCAGAACTTTGTTGGCGGTTTTAGTCAACTCGGTCAGTTTGGAGAGGGTTTGCTTGTCATACATCACCATATAGTAGTGGACCTTGTCCAGAACTCCACCATTCTTCCTCAAGTTGCGATAGATGTAAGCAAAATTAATACGGAGGTATTTCCAGCGTCCGGTGATAATACAAAGGATGTTTTCAGAGTTTGTTTTTTGGGCAAAGCTGACCTGCGTCTTCAGTAGCGGCTGCACTTCAATCCGTTTAGGTTGCACTTGCACTGGCAACGGTTGCTTCCTTACTGTCGATTCCAGCAGACGATTGAAGCAGCCGACCATTGTGCATGTAATTAATATGAAAATCAGCAAAGCTTTGCCGGACTGTATGAGAGCATTTTTACCAATTTTGAATCTTGCTGGCATTTGCTTTCGGCCAGCCATGTTCACGGCATAAGGCCTCATCACTGCAGTTCCACTGATTAGCTTGTTTGAAACAAGTTGTTTCTTTGAATCTCTGTGCTGGGTTTGCGTGGTAATTCCGTCATCCACCAGGTTGGTAGTGATACTATAGAGGGGAACATAGGACACTGGGTATCTATTTGTGCGGTGACCTGTGAAGTACGATGATGTCATCAAATTTGGTTATCACAGTGCAGTATTAAAGGGCTTGGAAAATAAAACAAAACATACACGAAGGAATTTACTAAATGTAAGAAAGCAGCCTTGCATCAACTTGGATACGATGTCATGCATAATGATACAATTCTTTTTTCCAGAATTAAATGGAACAAAAAT